CACAAGCTTCGAGCAGAAACATCACGCAATAGGATCTGTTTCAGAAAGAGACGGATTGGTGTGGGCAAAGGACAAGCTCAAACGGGACCAGATAGGAGACAAGGGCAATGGCCCAGGAGAACCTGGGAAGTCGTAGAGGCAGGAGCTGACCGATCTGGCACAGGAGTGCACAAGGAGGAAGGAAAAGGTGACGGTGAGTTTGAACCGAAATTCCAGGTGGGCAGATGGTGATGTTCTTAGCCTAGTTATGCAGAAAAGGAAGGAAACTTTTGTGGGAGTGGGAGATAACTCACAGGAGGTATAAATGTTGAGTTTCCATTTTTATTTTCCAGATAAGAGCATATCTTTCTCTGTTTCATTACCCTGCCCATACATTTTGGCAAACGCTTCACTCTAGCACAGATATTCAAAAGAAAGATACTCATACAATGCTATATATTGGAATTTTTCCTTAGGGTAAATTATGTCATCAATAAGCAAGAGATAGTCACCACTCATTTCATTCTTAGCCTAGTTATGCTTCCTTGTTTTAAAACACATTAAACCCACGTGTGTATTTTCTACAGTTCCTCATACACTGCTAATTTCTATACATTACATTCTCAAAGCTACTTTCAACCAGCTTATTCACATTTGACTAGTATCGATTCTTTTTCTCTTTTCAAAGCGGGAGAATGTTAATAGTTTACAAAAAAAAATCTGGAGTCAACTAGCTTTGCCACGTTGGGCAACCACTCACCTTCTCACAGCTCAGTGCCCTCAAATGTAAAATGTACTATTGTAGGGGCTTCCCTGGTGGCGCTAGTGGTCGGGAGTCCGCCTGCCACTGCAGGGGACTCGGGTTCGTGCCCCGCTCTGGGAAGATCCCACATGCCACGGAGTAGCTGGGCCCGTGAGCCATGGCCGCTGGGCCTGCGCGTCGGAGTCTGTGCTCCGCCAATGGGAGAGGCCACAGCAGTGAGAGGCCCGCGTACCGCAAAAAAAAAAGTACTATTGTACACTCACCTCAAATGGTTATTGTGACAGTAAAATCAGTCCAAATAGATCAAGTGCTTAGAATAGTACCTAGTACATAGTACCATGTATGTGTTAGCTAATATTATTATTATTACTACGTATTATTTTACAGTGAATAATTCAAAACAATTGTTAAATATGAGGTGAAGAATAAGCAATTTACTAGGTCAGAGGCAGGTTAGTAATTTTTACTAATCTTTGTACTCATTTTGCCCAGGCATACACTGGTAGCTAGTATTTTGGGTTTGTTCAATTTTACAAGAATGTATCATGACATCATATTAGAGCTAATAAAAAGATAGCAACGTGCCGAGGCCTGTTAAGAAAGGACAATTAGCACCTTCCACCTGGGGTGAAGGGTCTCACGCCAGCAGCAGGAGAAGGCTTGATGGGTAGGTTGGACCAGATTGTATATCAAGCCTTTAATGACAGATATGAGTTTCAGAGTTGACTCAAACTGGCTATCAGGACATATGTTCGTTTGTGATGCAATTTAACAAACAGTTATTTAATTACCTACTATGCATCAGCACTGTGCTAGGTGCTACAATATAAGACTTTTTTAAAACTGGAGGTCTCTGGGCCTCCCTGGTGGCGCAGTGGTTGGGAGTCTGCCTGCCGATGCAGGAGATATGGGTTCGTGCCCCGGTCCGGGAGGATCCCGCATGCCGCGGAGCGGCTGGGCCCGTGAGCCATGGCCGCTGAGCTTGCGTGTCCGGCAACGGGCAAGGCCACGACAGTGAGAGGCCCACATATCGCAAAAAAAAAAAAAAAAAAAAAAAAGAAAAAACACTATGAGGAGAGCCTCACACAGATTCTCTCTCTCTCTCTCTCTCACACACAGACACACACACAGACACACACACACACACACACACACACACACATGCTCCTGCTTCAGAGGTCTCTGGACCCTAGAGACACCACTATATATTCTGTGTGTGTGCACGCGTATTGTCTGCAGAGAAAGTCTATAGTGTTAATTGGATTCTCAAGAGTATCTTGGTGTACCATAAAGGTTTCTAAATTATGGCCTATAAAATGAGAAGAAAAGTAGGCCAGTAATTAAATAACTATGTGGTAATGGCTATTTTAAATGCACGGAAGGTGTGTATTAGGTGCTTTGAGCATAGAGACAAGAGAGCAACTGATGCTGCTTTATTTGGGGAGTGACGGGGCTGGCAGCGTTTTGTAGGTGCTGCACACACAGAGCACAGCCTCTCTCTAAGAAGAGAGACTCAACTTTACCCATCCGTTTTTTCTCATGAATATGCAATGAGGTTTATACATTCATTATTAATATCCTGCACCTATTCCACAACATAGCCATAAGTTACAACACCAATAGACATCAATTTCAATAGGGTTTAAATATCGCAGGAAAAAAATTGTCTTCTGGGGCAAATAAATGAGACAGGGATAGGACTAAGAGGCCGTCCTTCTCACCACCCAGCCCTGGCTACCAGAGGAGAAGTCCCACTTTACCCCACAAGACGGAGATCCCACTGCCTTTTCTTAGGCTTGTGTCACAGTGTGTACTGGATGGCCGGTGCTGGAACTGGCCGCTAAAGGCCCAGAGCTGAGAGCCAGAGGCACGAGTACCTCTACATTCTATGTGCCAAGAACTCGAGCTGCCTTCCCCTCAGGGCCTTCTGAGAGGTCAGGACAAATATCTGCGCCCCATGCCTCCTCATGCTCAGCCTGAGAAGGGGTTAGAAGGGAAAGGAGATGCCTCTGTGGGGAGGGCAGTATTTGTAAAGAGGACCCTGTGACCAGTGTTTTAAAATGACAAGGCTGAGCCTGAAAAAATTGAAACTGACTGTTTTAACTACAAAAATGACTGAGAAATTAGGGAATCCATCCTAGATATTGTGTAGGGTGACTGGTCCTCAATGGGAAAAGTGGGATTAACAAGCACAGTTAGTTGTAGTTTCCAGAAAAAAAATGAAACCTCGCACGTGTCTACCCGAATACGCTGAAGTTTCACGGTAAAGCCAGTTACACTGAATTCCAATCTGCTTCTTCCCTGGAGATAAGGAAGCCTGCAAAGTTACTGATGCCTAATGAATATTATACCTCTACTAAATTTGTACTTTTACTAAACATGTACTGAGATGAAAGCCTGCTGAGTGAGATCATGTATAAGACTATTTATAGGAAAATGTAATTTACTTCACTCAAGATCCTGAGAAGTATTTCACAATTTACTAATAATTATTTGGGTCATAGCCTATTTATTTACCAGATTCATATGGCCCTTACTATGTGCCATCACTGTTCTAAGGGCTTACAAATTCATCTAGTTTTCATAATGAAGTAGATACTACACTTAATTCCCATTTTACGGATGAGGAAACTGAGGCACAGATAGGTTAATAAGTGGTAGACCTCATATTTGAACCCAAGCACTCTAGCTTCTAAGGCCCTACTCTTAGCCTCTATCTTATTTAATCCTGATACCAAGTTTTTAACATTATCGTTTTGGGTGAGAAAACAGAAGTGTGATGGTTGATTTTATGTGTCAACTTGACTGGGCCACAAGGCACCCAGATAGCTGGTTAAACATTATTATGGGTGTGTCTGTGAGGATGTTTCTGGATGAGATTAACATGTGAATTGGCAGACTGAGTAAAGCAAATTGCCCTCCTCGACGTAGGTGGGCCTCATCTAAACCGTTGAAGCCCTGAATAGAACAAAACAGGTGGAATTAGGGAGAATTTTCTCCATCTGCCTGTCTTTAAGCTGGGACATCAGTCTTCTCCTGCCTTTGGACTCAGACTTGGACTGCAACTTACACGTTGGTTTTCCTGGTTCCTAGGCCTTTGGACTCAGATTGGAACTATTCCATCGACTCTGCTGGGTCTGACTCTGCCGGGTCTTGGGACTTCTCAGCCTCCATAATCACTTGAGCCCATTATTTATAATAAATCTCTTTCTCTCTATGTTTCTCTCTATCTCTTTTTGTCTCTCTGTCTCTCTCTCTCTCCACTGATTCTGTTTCTCTGGAGAAACCAGACTAGTGCACTTAGAGGGAGTAAGCAAATGCCTAAGGTCTTGCAACTGGAAAACCAGAGCTAAGGTGTGAACCCAGATGGGATTCCAGTCGGCATCCCTCACCCCTGCGCAATACGTGTGCTCAAGGCAATTCAGCGGTGAGGCCTGATTTAATTTCCATTATTTCTTCCGCAGGTAAAATGAAACTTTTTAACACCTAAAACAAAACCAGAAAACTGAAGTCATAGTTATTCCATTTTAGGAAACCAAACCAAACATGCCTAATTCTACCCACTTTTGTACCTCAGTTTCTTCAGGTCTGAAACCCATTGAGGTCCCATCCTCTTCAAGTAGTTTATTTCCTCTTCCTCCTCAATGATCTCCCGAATCTTATGCTTCACGTCTGGGTCCTTCACAACCACAAAGGTCCAGGGCTCTGTGTGGGCCCCACTTGGGGCTGTTCCTATCACCCATTAAATTAAAATCAGAAATTAAAACTGCAAGAAAAATCTGAGTCTGTTAATTAAGAATAAACATAACTCGTATTTGCTCAAAATGAAAGTTAGATCACCTGACACACAAAATGCCTGGCGGTAGCCTCTGGGATGTTGCTGCCAGGCCCATTTTGTTCAGCATCTCTGTCAGGGTCTCCAAACCAACTAACTGAGATCAAAGCCAGTAGTTCCTAGGTTTGGGGAATTTATCACTGCTTCTCTGATCATGTGAGAGAAAACATCCCTAGGAACTACTCTGTGACCAATAAGGGAACACAGATGGGAAGCTCTGATAGCCAAAATCCTCCAAAATGCTGTTTGTTTTGATATTCTTGAAAAATGATCAAGTCATGAAGTTTATTGGAAATGGCAAAATTTAAATGGCAAATGGTTTCAGAAGCATCCCCAATAGGCTATAAGTTGTTGAGTGCCTATATCAAAGTTCTGAGTGTGGCACTTGTGGGGTTTGTGACCCTGTTGTGAACACATGAGAACTCTTGGCCCTGGGCACTCAGACACACAGCAGAGTGTCTTCCAGCTCTCACAGGTTTTGGGAAACCTCAGCCCACCCTTGGATCAGTACCAATATCCTGGACAAAGCTTCATAGTGCATCATGGGACCCAAGGAGCTTAAGTTCCCTTTAAGATTCCAGCCAGCAGCACTTCCCTGGTGGTCTCGTGGGTAAGGCCTTGTGCTCCCAATGCACGGGGCCTGGGTTCGATCCCTAGTAGGGGAACTAGATCCAACATGCATGCTGCAACTAAGAGTTCGCATGCCACAGCTAAAGATCCCACATGCCACAACTAAGACCTGGCACAGCCAAAATAAATAAATAAATAAATATTTAAAAAATAAAAAAAGATTCCAGCCATGGACTGGCCCAGCTTCTGATCTGGGTGTCACCCCTCTGTCCTAGAAATGGCTGTTTCTAGAAGTAGACCACGGTGACCCACTGGTGGTATATTTCAGAAGCAAGTATTTCTTTCTTCCTAGTGAGTGGTTCAATGGCATAAACTCTACAGGAGGGGTCTCAGGCCTGCCAGCCTTGATGAGTTTTCCATCCACCAGTCCCCGTGGTAGAGAGGGTATGATTGAACTGTGAAATGCAAGTCAAATCTAAACATAAAGCCCAAATTTCTGAACAGAGGGATTCCAGTTCACTTTGTACACATCGTCTGTTCACTAAATTTTGGTGTCACCAAACACAAGAAATAAATTGCCCCTTAATGTTCTCAATTATGCCAAACCTCTCTGAATGTCATATGCTCACACCCACATATTTAGATACAGATCTATATACAGAAGAAATTTAGTAACTGCTATTAGTCAGATAAACATCTCACCAATCTAGTGTATTTGTGTTCTTAACTGAAATGAACTGTTTTATTCTTACTTCCTTTTAATTTGGGCAATGGGTTTATAATAGTCATGCAATAATTTCTGCAAATGAACTTAAATGTGATTTATATAGGAATAAGAATCCAATCAGAGGAGACTCTCAGATAGGGGGCTTTCTCATATCTCCTCTCCCTTTTTCTATAATTCTCATCTATTCCTCTGGGAATAGATATTAATTTACATTGCAAATGCATTTGGGGGACTTCCCTGGTGGCCCAATGGTTAAGAATCTGCCTTCCAATGCAGGGGACGTGGGTTTGATCCCTGGTCAGGGAACTAAGATCCCATATGCTGCGGGGCAACTAAGCCTGCACGCCACAACTACTGAGCCCTGGTGCCACAACTGAGCCCACTCGCGGCAACAAAATATCTTGCTCGCCGCAATGAAGATCCTGCAAGCCGCAACTACGACCTGAAGCAGACAAATAAATAAAAAGCAAAAGAGGGGGAAAAATGTCTGCCTTGCTTTGATTTACTTTGCGAATTCACATGAATAAATTTTGCTAGTTCATTAGAATACAGTACTAGAGCATCATGGTGTGTAATATAAGAAATTCAGTTCCCAAAAGAGAAATGTATAAATGTGAGTGAGTGAGTGTGTGTGTGTGTGTGTGTGTGTGTGTGTCTGTGTGTTTTAAGAGGAGGTGAAAGTAAGGATGTTTCTTTTCTGATGTATAATAATGTGTTCATAAATTTTCATTCTTCAAAAATTTTATAATGTTGAATAATTCCAGAAGCTTTGAACTGTTGTCACATCTGCTACCGAGAAGTTTGTAATAGTTAAACGTTTGTAGAGGGCTTCCCCGGTGGCGCAGTGGTTGAGAGTCCGCCTGCCGATGCAGGGGACACGGGTTCGTGCCCCGGTCCGGGAAGATCCCACATGCCGCGGAGCGGCTGGGCCCGTGAGCCATGGCCGCTGAGCCTGCGCGTCCGGAGCCTGTGCTCCGCAACGGGAGAGGTCACAACAGTGAGAGGCCCGCGTACCGCAAAAAAAAAAAAAGTTTGTAGAAAGTGGAAATCATCTTGTGCCTGGCAGTCAGTCAACACCTGGGTAAGACTTTACAGGTAAACGTATCATTCCAGGCTTTATTCACTGCGTTTGAACTTCAACATTGCTCCCCTATTGTCACTTGGAGCGGATGTTCTCAAAGACCCACTGTGCACTTACAGACCTGCTGCTTTGATGACATTATCAATCACTTCCATCGGGACTTGCTCATTACTTATGAATCTAACAGACCGTCTCTTATTGAGAAGTTCATAAAATTCCTGGGATCTCTTAAGCATTTCCTTCTCAGGATACCGGGTGTGGGAGAATGGGATGTGTTCCACCTCTTCCTCTGACACTTGCCATTCGTCAGCGTCTACCAGTAAGAACAAGGAAGACAGAGAATTAGAGGATGTCTCTTGGTCGTGAAGGGGAGTGCAATATGCCCCTCCCCCAAAATATGTGTCTTTAGCATAAGAATTATTTTGGGTTGACTATTTTTAGGAAACGCAGACACAGGAGAAGTTCTGAAAACCCGAGTAGAAGTCACCCTTTTGTAAGAGACATTTATAAAGGAAATCTCTATCTGGAAGTGTTTCCCCCTCTGTACCAGGAAGAGAAGGATGATTCTAAATCACAAGAAACTCTTGTCAACAGAGAAGGTGTGGACTTAAATCTCTGTAACAATCTTACTTTTGTTTGCTCTGCTTTTCCTGACAACCTCCCCTAACTGGGTCTCCCCAGTCCCCAATGCCTTTCTTCTGTCTTTATCTGAAGATGGATTAAGGTGGTGGCTAAGGCTGTTTGGGGGAGTTACTCAGTCTTCCTGGGTCTCTCCCATGTACACAAGAGATATACATGTTATTAAACTTCTGTTTGTTTTTCTCTTGTTAATCTGTTTTTATTATGGGGGAGTGGTGTTCTCAGCCAGAGAAAATTATTTTTACTCCCTCATAGTCATAAGGTGGTCACTGGGGAGAAGGAAATAAAGTTCTCAAAATATCTGTAAGGTTACGAGCTCAAAAACATCAAGGAAAAATGAGAAAAAATAGGTCTACAGAATCCTTAAACTCTGATCTTGACTGTCCTTCAAAGCCCAGACTGGTTATAAATCAAGAAAAAGGAAACTTTTACATACATAAAGATGAAAAATGTAAATTTCTGTTTATGGTGAACTAACTTATTTGAAACAGTCTCCGTTGGCTGAAAACCACTAAGATCTTTTTTTTTTTTTTTTTGGCCAGATCTTAATTCCTCGAACTCATGCCCCCTGCAGTGGAAACATGGAGTCTTAACCACTGGACCACCAGGGAAGTCCTCTGAAAACCACTAAGATGTTGAAATAAATAATTTTTTATAAAGCCGTTTTAAAATCTTTGAGTTACTGACAGCATAGTAAGAAATTCCCAGGCCAAAAGTGGAGGGAAAATATGATCCTGCAGAGGTAAATAAGCACAGAAGCTGCATTTGCCTTGATAACATCTGCCAATCCCAATATGTTTGAATTTTTATTTTTATATTTTCAGGGATCCAGAGGGACAGAAATCAAAGCCCAGGTCCATATACGATGGGAAGTCTAACAAGCTGGGACCCCCAAGACTACATCCTTAGAAAAACTAAGAATCATGAATAAATCAGGGACTTTCCTGGTGGTCCAGTGGTTAAGACTGCACTTACATTGCAGGGGACACGGGTTCCATCCCTGGTCAGGGAACTAAGATCACTCATGCTGCATGGCACGGCCATAAATAAATAAATCAGCCCCCAAGAGTTTATAACATTTTGATGGGTCCTGCCTCAAACTTGAACTTGGAATAGTGTGGTCCTGCCTGAAAATACCCCCATTACCCAGCAGAAGCAAATGCCAACATATAAATAATTTTAAGTACAATTATCAGCAACACATAAAAGACAACCAGACATACAAAAAGAATATCTTGAGCAAGAAACAGCAGAATAGGTTTTTAAAAATAGAGTCAGACACCAAATTCTCCAAATATTGGAATTACAAGACTCAAAAGATAAAACAACTATGACTACTAGGTTTAGAGGGGAAAAAAAAGACAGACGTATATAAATCTGTAGGGTACAGGAAAGGATGAAAGGTGACATAGAAAATATTTTAAAACAGAACTTTTAGAGCTGAAAAATAAAATAATAGAATTAAGAACTTGGTGGGTGGGTTTAATAGCAGGTTAGACATACCTAAAGAAAGAATTAATGAACTGAAGACAACTCAGAAGAAAATATCTAGAGTAGAGTAAGGAAAGACCAAAAGACAGAAAACATAAAAGAACGATCAAGAAAAAATAAAGCAGAGCGAGAATGTTCTAATATACGTGATGATAGTGACAGCAGGAGATGGGAAAGAGGATGTGGCAGAGACCATATTTGAAAGAGAATATCTGATATGAAAACCTGATGAAAAATGCCAGATCTACAGATTCAAGAGGCCCAGTAAATCCCAAGCAGTAAAACAGAAAAGAAGCCCACACCTTTTATAATCAAATATAAAATCTTAAAATCAGCCAGAGGAAAAAAAAAGATTCCCTTAGGAAGAGGCCCGGATGGCTTCATGAGGGAGTTCTACCAAACACTCACAGAACAATTATTGCTAAATTTTCTCCAACTCTTCCCAAGAATAGAAATAGAGGAAACATCCGCCACCAACTCATTCTATAAGACTAGCACACACTTGCTACCAAGCCTGACTAGGACATTTAAAGAGAGAAAAGCTACAAGCTCAACTTTCTCATAAATATAGATGCAGAAAATCCTAACCAAAATATTAGTAAACAGAATTCAACAATATATTAAAGAAACAATACACTTCGGCCAAATTGGGATTACCCCAGGAATGCAAGGTTAACTTAACATTAGAAAAGCAATGTTGTTTGTTACATTCACAAGCTAATAATCACTGTAATGCAGGAAAGGTGTCTGATAAAATTTGGATTTCATCTCTTAGTAAACTGGGGTAGAAAGGAACCTTCTTAACCGGATAAAGTCTAACTATGGGGAAAAACACCAAAACAATCCAGAACCAACTACATAGTTAGTGGTGAAACATTGAAACTCTTCCATCAGATATCGAAAATTAATGAATATTGCCTGTTCTCACCACAGTTCTAATTATGAAAGACTGATTTTTGAAGCTTTTAGAAAAGAATATAGGAGACTATATTCATGACCCTGTAGAGAAGGATTTCTTAAACAAGATACAAAAATATTAACCATAAGAAAAAAATCTGTTCAATTTACCTACAGCAAGTTTATCTTTACACCTGCCTGCTTCTGCCACTTCTGGTTTTCCCCATTTCCTTCCTGTTCAGAGAGCTGTGGAAATCCATTATCTGTAGCTCAAGATCTTACAGAAGATGAAGATGCAATGGAGAATTCAATAGGTGAAGCTGAAGCTCTACCTCTGAATACATGTGTTTCTTCACTCCTTTCAAACCCATGAGTAGACAATACTTTTGATCTGAACTACAAAGATTTAAATGTGAACTACCAAGATTTCAACTGAAATAAATTCTGAGATGCTGTATTCAAAAAGTTAAAAAGTGTTAAAAATAGGAATGCTTTGAATGGAGTATATATTTATTATTTATTTATTTATTTATATACTCCTTGCTTATCTTGAATTAGCCTTGGATTTCTGATTGTTGTTGGACTTCATCAACTCCTAGAATCTAGGAGGCAAAAGGTACCAAAGAGGCTACTACAGAAAGTGGACCTTGGTACATCAAACCAGAATGAGTTGATGTGAGTTGGACTTTTCAGGGAATTTTAATCACATAAATAAGGTTTCACCAAGAAGTCTGCCCAAGAAACAGACACTGAAAATATCAGTGGAATCTAATGAGTAGATGGTTCTTTTACACAAAGGCTGAAGACTTTCCTAAATCTGCTCTGATGTTTTTCACCCTGATGGGGACAGGTGCAGAGAAGCCATATCACCAGTAGGAGGCAACTCCTACTTAGATAAGAACAGATAATCAGAGTCCACGATGATAAAATTGCTGAAAATGCTCAGCACTTAACTTTCATTAAAGTAACAAATTTAGATTGTTTTAAACCATTAAGGTTTATTTGTGTGCATGTGTATGCCTTACCTGAATTATTATTGTACTACCTAAACTGTGTCTTTAGAAAACTGAATGTAATGCTATCATATATCTTCATCCTTCACAACCACCCAAAAGCCAATGAATATTTGCCTGATATAATGTATATCCCACGCCTTCAACTGTGTGATAGAAAATAATTAGTTGTTACTTCCTTCTTTGAGTAGATACAAATCCACTTTGATGCCATAGATTAACTGATGTTTTGGTTATGATTCTGATTCTTGTGACATTTACTAAAGGATTTTCACTTCCAGTAATGGTTATTTACATAATTTACACCAAATCTCCAAAGTAAAGAAAGCTAAAATCCTTAGTAAAATACATTTAGAACATTTTCTTCTAAGTACTGAAGAGCTAATCTGTGACTGTAGAACATCACAGTCAAAATCTGGGTGAAGGTTAGTACCCACAGAGGTAGATCGGCACTCAAATGTCCAGAGAATATTTTCCAATTACCTAGAAACCGCCATGAGGCTGAGCTGAGATAAAAGGATGGTGACCAAAGTCAAACCCCCAGGGCCATCCAGGGCCTGAAGATTTATGGTACAATAGTAAGAGTAAAATGTAAGTAATCCAGCCCTGGTGCCTTAGAGCCTAAGGTAATATCCTGTGAGTGATCCAGGGAACCGTTAAGCCTTGAGCTTAGATTAAAGTTGCCCCAGAGTGTTAGAACGTTGCTCTTCTGGTAGGTGAAAATGTGGAATATTCCCTGGAATAAGTAACAGTATCCTAGACCTCAAAAAAAATTTATATGTAATTTTCCAATAGAATGACCAGCAAAGAAGTAATTCCCATAAAATTCAAAATAATAGTTACTTCTATAGGGTATGGAAGAGGTTGTTACTGGGAAGGAACATATAGGGGTTTATGGAGTACTGGAAATTTATATTTCTTGATCTAAGTGATAACTATGTAGATTTTTGCTTTAAAATTATTTGTTAAGCCATTCATCTATCTTTTATACACTTTTCTAGTAAGCATATTACATTTCACAATTAAGGGGTTTTTTGTGAGTTTTTTTTTTTTTTTTTTTAATGAGAAGGCCATAAAAACGAATTACCAAAAACACCCACAAGGGTAGATCAACTGACTACAACTGTTATATTGATAAAAGAACATCTGAAAAAAAAAGAAAAGAAAAGACACTTGACACTTTCTTAATGAGATAAGAGGATGAGAGATGAACCATCTGGGGAAGGTGGGACAAATGTAGAAATAGGAATGAACTGGCACAATTAACTTCTCC